CCCCAAAACCCCAAAACCCCAAAACCCCGTTAATCTCAATTTGAAAGATAATTGATGGTGATAGAAATGTTATTCTTGAATAAATAAAAGACAATAGCTTCAATTTTGGCAAATATCTTAATGCATTTTGCATTTATCTTTATTCCAGTATCTATTTTCAATTTCATAGAGGAATATTGGTATTCACTTGTTATTTTTGAATCGTTTTTAGTCATTCATATTTATCTTAGAACTATTTTAAGCTCCACTCATTTCATCAATTTTCCTTTTCTTTAACAAAATTTCATTCATTTTATTTTCAAGAGGATCCATTCTCAATTAAACTTTATTTTATTCTTTTTATTAAATTTGTTATCTTTGTTTTGCTTTTTCTAATAACTCAGCTTTTTTTCTGAGGAGTTCTTATCTGTAAGCTTCCTTTTCAGGATCTAGCTTTTTAGTTGAAGTTGGTTTGTCTTTATTAAGGTCTTAATCTTTTTAAATCTAGAATTAATTATTATGATTTTTAATTGATTAATCTTATTTCTTCTTACTTTTCTCTTATTAGTTGTTTGTCATATGTTTTTATGATTATTCATTATGTTTTTAATTTTCAAATTCCTAATTTTTTAGTGTCTTATAATCCTCTAATAATTACTTAGGGGAATATTTGCTTTTCTTCAATACATCTCTTTGATTGAGGACTATCTATTAAATTTTATTTTTTTCTAATTAATCTTTATTTTTTATTTTGACATAAGATCCAATTTTAGATTTAGTATATTCTAAAAAGGCATTCCAATTTTTATTTCTTTTTAGAGTTCTGCTGTTTCCAATTACCCATAGGAAGTTTTTAGCTCTAGTAATAGCAACATTCATTCTTCTATAGTCATTTAAGAATCCTAATTGTCTCTCCTAACTCCCTCTAACACAAGAAATAATTATTATGTCTTTTTCTCTTCCTTAATAAGCATCAACAGTGTTTATCTCGATCAAATCATTTGGACACCCTAATTACCTCATTCTTGGGTAAATTATATCCTTAAGTGTCTTAACTTGCTACTTATATGGTGAGATTATTCCTATTCTTAACTTCAAGTCACCTAGAATAAACTTGATCTTTTCCTCATATGATGCAACATTGCTAGGATATTCTTTTAAGTTTTAATACACCGTTTAAATTATTTCATTAAAGAGATTCTTAATGAAATTCGCTTCATCAAGATTAGATTTGGATGTTTCGTTTTAAGATTCCTAAGAGTATTTCAAGTCAAAGAAGATTAAATTCCGGAAGTCTTAATCAAGTTGTCTTATTGTCGTTGGAATCAATGTCTTATTATTAATTCTTTTTTATACATCCTCTGCATCAGTCAATCTATATAAATTAAAATTATAAATATTACTATCCTTCATAGAATTGACTAGATGGAAATTCTCTTATTATTGGGAGCATTCTATATTAAATATTTAGCATGAATCTGTTCACTCCACAATTCAGAAATCTCTCAAATAAACTTCTACTGTAGAAAGTTTTATCACTATTTTCAGAAAAAGTTGTTGCCGGTAACTGTTACTAATCTCCTACAAGTATGACCTTCTTTGGTTCATGCTCAAATGGTATAAGATTTGTAAGTTCTACACATTAGCAAGCTTCATCAACAATCAAATATTCAACTTCGCCTAATTTGATAGCCTCTAATTTCTCGGATGCTGACATTGATAGTGTCGTGCAAATTATCTAAGCTCTTCTGATAATAGCAAGCTCAATATCTTTCTTTTTTGTCTATCAAATATAAGTAATTAAATTATTTACCTTAGGATTTTGCTTTTAATCAATTAATGGTTCCTCTGATGATAATTTTTACTTTTCTTTTTCATAATTATCCCTTAGTAGTGATAATGTTTTCAATTTCTCATCTTTATTTTACATTAGAAATCTCTAGACTTTCTCTGAGTCCCTGTAAAGTAATTTCAAAAGATCAACTAATCTTGATCTTTCCTATTCTATTTAATCTGTAGAAATGATCCTTGTAATAGTAGTAATTTATTGTAGCCTTTCCTTAATTGTCTAGAATTTTTCAAGCAAATTATTTCTTCTATTTGCTTATGAAGATTCTTCTTCTCCTAATTCATCTCTTACCTTTGAATCTAGAGTAAATTTCTTGACAAGTGGAAGTGGATCATAGTCCATCGAGCCTATTCTGAGAAGTTTTTATTTAAGTTAAGCTTCACTATAACTATATTATCAAGTATAATACTTACGTAATTGTTCCAAATAATCTTTTTGAGACTATTCTAAGTAAAATCTCATCTATTGCAGCATTTGAAGGTCCACATACCATAATCTTCTTGCAGTTTGAATTTACAAGCATTGCTAATATTCCTTAAATAGTGTGAGTTTTTCCAGTTCCGGGCTATATATTTATAAAAACTTTAAAGAAACTTACAGGTCCTTAAATAAGCAAAAAGTCCTCCTTCTTCATATTATACACCTATTTTAAAGCATCTCTTTGGCTTTCATTGAAATTCATTCCATAGTGATGCACAAATCCTCTCATTCTTTCTTGATGATCATTAAACTTTTAATTCTGCTAGGCCATTTAATCACATAGATAAATTTAAGGATTTAGTATTATTTTGGCTGTTGGATAGAATTCGCAGCTTTTTATTGTTCTAAATTCTCTGATGGTAGTTGAAAGACTATCAAAAAAGTAAACATGAACTTTGAGATGAGTATGATTTCTTATATTGACTCTAACATAATCCTCGTGAAGATCTGAATCAACTTTAATGACTATGTGAGTTTTATCTTTTTTTCTTCTTTAGTGAACCATACACAGCATTTTTCCTTTTTCGTCTCTCATTTTAAGCAAATATTGTAAATTAGTGACCTTTTTAACTTCATCAACTGGCAACGGTTCCTCAGATATATAGAGAAGATCAAATTCTTTCAATGAATCTAATAATCTTAGATCGTAATTGCCATTCTTATCTTAGACATTACTTGCACTTTCATACAAATGAAGATAAATGTAATTTTAGTCTGAATTGCCTCTCTAAACGTATCCCTGGAAGTAGTTTTTCTTTGTATATGTCTATTTATACTCCAATCCAAGAGCTTATGCTTGTTATTTTTCCTTATCTCTGTCTGTTCTTTGATTTATCATTTGATTATATGTCTCATAAAGAAACAAAGGAATCCAAGTATCTCGATAATGCTAAAAAGACTCGAATTAGAGTGGCACTTATTCGAATTACGGTTTTTATTCATTAGAAAATCTCTAAATCAAATCTAGGTTTAAAATAGGTTTAATTAGTTCGTCAGCTGTTTTTCTATTATGCCATCTTATCTGCTTCATTTCAGCTTCTCTTTCTTCTTAGTAGAGCTTTAAAAAGGCTTACTCTTTCTGCTCTCTTGTTAGCTCTACTCTTTAATTTTAAATTTCATCATCATTTTTATCTCTATGAATTCCATGATCTTTATTTTGAAATGCCCCTTAATCTAAAAAGGAAAAGAAATCATTATTATCTTTTGATTTTTCTTCTGTCTGCTTATCTTCATTATAATCAAATAGTTCTCCAAAAAGTTCATCTTAATTCTTTTTCTGCAATTTTTTTTACTCAGCCTTTTACTTTTATTTTTCGGCTTCTTATTCTCTCATTGCCTCTAAATTTTATAGCATCTTTTTATCACTATTAGGCTTTAAATGTTATGTTCTTTCATTTATCATTTTTTTAAGAGTCTCGAATTCATTGATATCTTTTCTCTTCTAAATTAAATCAGCTAATGCACTCGAAGGAAGTTAGACTTTCTTTGTATGTATTGAATGATTAATCAAAGGCTTGTCATTCACATCCATATTAAGATGTTTTCTTGCTCTTTCTTTAAATTCTTGCTATCGCTTGATCTCCTGAGCTTCTTCAAACTTCTTCTTGGCAATATTTTGAGTAGACTCTCCTTTTAATTACGAAGTATCATTGTAATATTATTCTATAAACTTGATATTATCTTCAAGACTTGAGTTTCCTATATTTGTTTTTGTTTAATTTATGTATTTATTCTCTGGTTGTACATTTGAATACTTTGGGTTTTAGTTTTAAATAGAGGACTTCTTAATATAATCTCTTTTATAACTACTTTTTTCATTGCCTAAGTATTAGTCTAAGATGTTTTCATAATATTTTGAGCCTAATTCTTCTTTTTAATTTCTATTCTAAAAGGTTGATTTTATGTCGTTTCTTCTATCGTTATGCTAAACATATGATGAATTTGTTATTTGATGCGATGCATTATAATTTCCATTATAGCTACTAATTGCATTATTTCTATTACCAGATGTTAATGATGAGCTGATGTAGTTGAACTAATTTTATGCTGATTTATCTTTCAAGCTATCCTTTTCGATTCTCTTCTAAAAAGAGTTCAATTCATCACTATTGTCCAATAAATCTTTTAGAGCTCCTTCAATGTCTTCTATTTCAATTAGATCATTATCTATATCATCTGCAACTTTCTGAAATAATTTATGATCCCCTGAAATCTTTTGGTCCTTCTTATAGTCAATGAACTTGATTTCATCATCATCGATTATGTCTTCCAATTAAACTTAAACTTAGGGTTGAATCTTATCTTATTTATAGCCTAAAATCAATTTAGGAAGTAGGTTACTAGGGTTTACTGAAGAAGCATTCCTGATTGATTAATCTTCATTATATCCGTTAGCTTGTTGCGCCTTCATTTTATTCATATGAAAGGCATCTTAATTTATCGTCTTTGTGTTTGATGAGGCACTTGTATTGTTAGTAGTTGAACACAAATCTATTACAACATTTTTTATTGGGCTCACATAACCTTTTAGTTAATTATTTGCGAAATCCAGTTTTGCTTGTTAATATTTCTCCTCTCCTCCACTCAATCTTCTTCCTTGAGCATCTTTTTATCCTATCTACTCTAAATTCGAAGACTCTCTATCCTTATTTGCTTCTTTTTAGAGTAATGATCTCATCAACTCTTTAGAGCTCATTTCTTAGCCTAACTTCGGAGGATTACTACCCATTATCAATGGCTATTTGTTGGTTTGCTATTACTGCTTTATAACATAAGCAGAGTTCGATAGATATCCTCTGGGAAGAGTTGAGAAATTGCTTTTATTAAGATTAAACAAATTCGCGGAATTTTTGTTTCCGCCATTCGCCCCCTGATTATTTGGGTTGGTGAAGTTGCTCATTAAACTTAATGATAATTTTAATAATTAATATTAGTTAAGGGTCGGAAATTTAATTATATAATTGACATCCTAATGAAAAGGTAGGACCATCAACAATAAGCTCTAGTTTAAATATTAAAATCAATAGTCGGCATCTCCCTATCTCCCTATGAATTCTTAAACTAAACAGTATACTGATTCATTTTTCTTATACTCCAGTTTTCTTATAGATCTCCTCGATTCTTTTCATTTCATCCGCTTTGCACATTTGAAGGGCTCTAAATAATGGCATGCACTCACTTTGCTACTTTGTTTTTAGGCAATTGACATATCTGCATCCAAATTTCTTGCATCTAATTAATACGTTTTGTTTGAAAATGAATGTGCTAAAACAATCTTATATTTAAATATTCAGATACGAAGTGGTACTAGTTATATTCTTAACTTACTTCTACTCTGCAACATGATGAAGTAATACTTCATCTAATCCTTATATTCTATTTTCCATTATTTATACAGTTTGTTTAATTTTTGAATCAAGGGGTTTTGGGGTTTTGGGGTTTTGGGG